TCTTTAAACCGCCTTCGCCATCCCCTCTTATCCATCTTCATCCCTCCTCCTCCCCCTTCCCCACCTTCCCACCCGCCCCTCTTTTCACCCACCGCTGTCTCCTCCTCCTCCTCCTCCTATCCCCTCTCTATCCATCCGTGTAGTTGTAGCCTACTGGTTACTGAACATTCAACGAGCCAGTGACTTATTTTTGCTCCTACCGAGGGTAGGGCGAGTGCTGAAACAGATTACGAGTTACATAAAACCCCGGCGCTTCGTGGGTGGCTTGGGCTTCAACGTCATGCTCCAAGGGAGACAACCGAAATAAAATGGTCCGTCTCGTAATTAAGCTTGAGGCTTGTTTGGCTGGGTTTGATGCCTTTGTGAGGAAAACAAAACAACAGCGGCTTCAGATCTATTGGAGCAGCAAGCAGCAATGTTTGTTGAAGAGTGGCCACGATATATATTTATTAAAGCTGAACAATATTGTTTGTTTTTGAAACCTAATTCCAGAAGAAAAAAAAAGAAAAAATGTAAAAAAAATTCCGTGGGCCCCTTATCCACTTACTGCCTCCGGCTGTTCCTCTGACCCCCCTCGTAAAATTGTCAAAATACGACATACACTCTCATTTTTATATTATATTTGAACTTTACGAGCGTGCTCGTTACGAGATGAGGGTTTGTTTAATGTCTTTCTTTTGTTTTGTTTTTGTTTTTGTTTTGTTTTGTTTCTCGTTTGTTTGTTTGTAGTTGTTTGTTGCTTTGTGTGTTTGTTTATTTGGTTGTTGTTTGTTTATTTTGTTAATTGTGTTGTTGTTGTTTTGACGTTGTTGTATGTGTTTGGGTTGTTTTTGTTGGGGGTTTTTGGGTGGGGTGGGGGGGTGGGGGTTGGCTGAAGAAGTCATAATACGTTAAACCCATATACATTGACCTAGTTTTATTTCCCTCTACACATTTCCTTGTCTAAGTTGGCGGTGGCTCATTTCTCTCCTTAAAATAATGATTGTCTCCGTGTGCGCAAACAGTGGGTGAGTAATGTGAGTCGGATGTCTGCGGGAAGCATCTCCAGTGAGTCTCTGCCACACAGGGGTGGGAGTCAATTGGAAGGTAGTCGTTAGTAACTCGAACCACGCCATGGAAGAAGAAGGGAGACTGCGAAGAAGGCCAGCAGAGGTGGTTTGGGGGGGGGGGGGCGAGAGGGACTGGACATAAAGAAAAAGGATCCCATGAAAGATTGAAGACGACTGTAAGAATATTGTTTGTCAAAGAAAATAGAGAAGGCTAAAGAATAATATTATACGAATTTTATATTTTTTAGATTGAGACAGTGACAGGGTACAAACGTAACAGAGAGTAACAGCAGCTGGACGGGGAGAGGATCCAGATTTCTCCTTTTATTTCTATTATTATTTATTTATTTCATTTTATTTTTTGGTGGAAAGTTATACCGAAAAAAATAATGAAAAATAAACGTTCTTTTTTAGAAAGCGTTTTGATTCCTTGCCGTTTATGTGCGAGTTGAGAGAAGATAGTCCTAGAGAGGTAAGGAGTTGAAA